AGGAATGAGGGAAACCTGGAAAATTTCATTAGTTAGGGGGGTGGTCAAAAGTCGACCGATATCAATATCTCACATTGAGCTAAGCCAACGTTCTTCCACCCCATCATACCCGCAGTATATTCGACCCAATGGTCATACTTCGATCTCAAGATTATGTGGTGGTATTTGTGATCTTTCATTTTGAATAATTTATAAGATATTAAACTGTTTCGTTGAAATGGAACACAAAAAGATTTTATAACTGAACTCTTTGTTGTGCTGATGTGACAGTACGCCATTATTACCTTTTTAGTTAAATTGCATCAGCTATCATAATAAATAAAGAAATCTTTTGCTTAAAAATGTTTCAGAATTTAGAAATTTTAAATTAATGTTATAGGTTGAAACGACTATTCGATTGATTATTTAAAATAATGAAAAGTTGCCTTCCAATTTTTTTTTTGTTTTTTTTATAGACAAATACAAATTTATTTACCTTTTTATATTTAGAATTTTATTTAGCTCCTACGACACTGCCAGGACAAAGATAAAAAATCACGTTCGCTTTGTCGCACTCATAGTACCGAAATTGTGGACAACTCGTATGCTTATGACAAAGATAGATTATTTCGTTCTCTATTGTCAATGCGCGTGCGTCAGTAAACGTGTGTTTCTTTAAATTATTGTATGCTCAATATCCATTGTTAATCTCAAAAAGGTAAATACATATTAATAAGGACTAATATTTTTTCTTTTAGCCTAAAACGGATTTAAACGGATGCAAACTAACCCTCATGTTCACCCCCAAAAATAATATTTCCGTGATAACTCGGGTTCTAATCAATATTTTGGAATGAAACAAAATGGAAATTACTTCTAATAAAAAAAACATTTATGGGCTTAGGTAATGCATCAGTTGAATGAACAATATGACGATATTCCACCAAATAGAGATGCGCTCTGGGAACGTATACAAAATATTTGGAACGCTATAGACGTGAATTATAATATACGACGCCTTGCTAAATCTATGCCAAACAGATTACAAGCCGTTATTGATTCGGATGATGGTTGGACATATTATTAGACCGTTTTGTTTTTTCATTGTTTATAAAATGATGTCAAAATAAGTAAATAAGTTCATATGTTCATTATGGGCCCGGAAATGCTTCATTTCTGATAGATGTAAAATTTAAAAAAATCCCGATTTTCTAAATATTTCGAAAACGATTTAAGATATTACAATGAGCTTTGATGTATAGTACAGTGGCAGCGTAATATCTTAAATCGTTTTCGAGATATTTAGAAAACACCGGATTTTATATTTCCTTCGACATCTATCTAAGAAAAGAAACATTTCCGGACCCATAATGTCATGAACTTATTTACTTATTTTCACTTCCAGAACACGTCCTTAAAATATTTCCCTTTCCTCCCGAAAGTTTACAATATTTTTTTGTTCTGTTGCCGTCATGACCTACCTACCTACTTTCTGCAGAATATGACACAAATTCTTATTTCAAAATACACAATTTTCTCAGGGACAAGAAAAATAATGTGGCAAGACAAAATAATTTCAAAACCTGTATACTCTTCTCTTTTTATAATGCATATACTTCAGGCCTGCAATTTTTTGTTGTGTGTCGTTACACACGTGCCTACACAAAATAAAATATGACACGCCCCTAATTATTGATGCCTCCCAAAATTCCCATTAATAGTCCACCGGCTCGCCCCTTTAATAGTAGGATGCCTTTTAGGTTGGAAACCTTTATCTTGCGTCGAGTGTACATATTTTCAAAAACAGTCTCACCTCTGTTATTCCCCAACCACTTGCTACCAAACTAGTCCCATCTGGAATGGTAAAAAGCTCATTCGGAAGGCTTATGGCCTGAATTGTGTTCGAAAACGTCAAATTTTCTTGAAGCTGAAGAAAATAACTAAAATTATTATCAATAAAATTGTTTGATCCAATACATATACAAATTGTGAATGTTTATGTATTTACCTTTAGTAAGGCGATGTCGTAATCGTAAGTAACGCTGTCATAGTCATCGTGCATTATGGCTTCTTCGACTTGATATTTTTGTTCAGCCTGTCTTAAATCTGTTACTCCCGGTACAACGTAATACACGGTAACTATCAGTCTGAAAGAAGAATTTTTGACGTAAAAACTAAAATTCTTCAGTTCTACACCACGACGTATATTTTTTACTGATTCGGAAATGTTATTAAAGTAATTGTTAATTATTTGAAATTATTCGGTGGCAACTCACTCGGTAACGCAATGAGCGGCCGTTAATATGAGACCAGAACTAATAATTGAACCTCCGCAAATATGATTTCCAAATACCTGCAGGGATACCTGCCATGGATGTTTCTCTATAGTCGTAGTAACGCCTCCTACAATCCTTCCTCCAGGAATGCCTTCTCGTACATTAAAACCACCTAAAAATGAGAAAATAATATCATGTTTTGCATGTAGCTTTTCTACAAAATAAATGATACCAAATACCAAAACATTTTAATTTTGTATTTTTCAAAATATTATTAATAATAAGTACATAATTCTATAGAAAAAGTTATTTTAATAACATATTTTATTATTAGTTCTCGCATTTTATCCGATTTATTAAGTTAATTCAAACAAATTCAAAATATATTTTTTAAATACAGGGTGTCTCGAAATTCATGCAACAAAATTTGCTCGTAGATTCTTAAGACAAATTTAGGGGACCCGTCTTTTTTCTTTTTGCCAACTGGCCCCCTCTTTCGGAGTTACAGCCCCTTGACATCTGCCCCTAAGAAGTCCTTTTTATATCTCAGAACCATGTTGTACGAGAATCACTAAATTTGGTACACAGGGGTTTTATGACATGTGGAATCTCACAGTACTACGCTTTTTGTCGAGAAACCCCCTTAAGACACTTTTTATGGGCCCCCTTGTTGTTGGAACCAGACAAATTTAGTCGCAAATTTGATTTTTTTTTTAATTATTAGTTAGCTAGAAAGCCATTGAATTTAGAAACTTTTTTGTCTCTTGATATTTTTTTTTGTAAAACGCAATGTTTTTGTGGAAAATGGCGAATCACGATATGCATTCGATCACATTTTGACATTTTTCACGAAAACATTGCGTTTTACGAAAAAAGTATAAAGAGACAAAAAGTTTCTAAATTTAATGGCTTTCTAGTGGACTGATAATTTTTAAGAAATTTAAATATGAGAC